GCTTTTGCAATTGACAAGCAGCCAGCAAATGGCAAGCGTGGGCATAATTATGGTCTTCAATCTATTCCCAGAATTTCGAGCAACCTCAACTCCAACGCAATAGCCACACACTGCGAGGTACTATCTGGTTTAACTGGAAATTTGCCTGCTGCTTGACTGGATTCATAATCGTAGATGCCATAAATTTGAGCCAAGGTCTCTCTCAAGTTGATAGAGCTGCTGTTCCTGTGGCGCAGAGCAGGAGTGCCAGAGTCCAAAGCAGGTTGTTTCATGAATCAGGGGTCAAGAGTTGAAAATTACCCGTTCACGCTATCATACACATATTAAATTTGGAATACATACATTTCGTTTCACTTTCACTGATATAAACAATCTTTCGAGTTCCATAACTCATCTTTGCGTTAAGGTTTGCTTACCTTTTCGAGTTATTTACCCAACAGTAGCCTGTCAATGACATATCATATCTCAGGGTTTCTGCGACTCATGCCAACGCATTTCCTTCGCAAACAAGACTCTAATTTCCTTTATTATTTATTTACTTTTAAGTAGTCGCCCGACTACATACACACATTCATAATAATCCCGGACTGACTCCCCTAAAAAGTGGCGCATCATGCCGTGGAAAATGTCCTGAGAACAAACTCATTCATAAATCAAGGCTACAGCGATTGTTAATTTTCGATACATCCATGCCATGTTTTTATTTTTTTTAACGGAAACCTCTTAAGTGTTGCTAAGTTGGACGAAAAAAAAACTGCTTCCTCATGGTTATTTCAACGTGGATGTATTGGAAATATGATAGCCCATGACTTCAAGCCATGGACAGCTGACGAATGCACAAGCGGAGGGGGATTCGGGCACTCCTAACGCTGCCTGCAGTTGCCTTTTTATAGCTCTGCAAAGCAGTTTTATCTTTAGAAGCACTTGGAATTTTATTGCCATTTGGTATATATAGGTAAATATACTTTCTTAAGGAAGCCATTTGTAATTGAATAGTAACATTTTGTCATTCTTAGTTATTAAACAAATAAGGCTCAGTCTCAACGTCTACCCATTCCTTTTTGTCTGACTCATCGACTTTCTTTAAATCTTCTCATATTCTATAGAACCATAAAGTTTCTTCCATAATTCCCAATTGCCAATAAAAATAAGATTGGAAGAACAAAGTTGTGTGTTTCGAAAATTTCAAGAGAAAAGTTCCTAAAACGTGTTCCAGCTATAAATATCAATTAACTGAGATATACCAAAGCGAGTCACGGGCTACGATCCGACTATCGAAAAGCAGGCTAATTGCAGCTAGCCGGTGGTCTGGACTCGGGAGAAGAGCTCTGAGTGGCGAGTGCAGTCCAGAAGGAAGTCGTAAAATTGATAAGGACAAAGAACGAAAATGCGCTGCAGGAAAAACTAAGCGATTATGGAATGTCACCGAAGTGCCAGGTCACGTTCCAGTCGTGGTCGCCGTGGTCGACGCCATGCCTGATGACTCACACAGTGCCATGGCATGTTGCGGGCACAGCCTCGGCTCTTTGTGCTCTGGTCGAGCTTATCAGCCGCCGTCGCCACCGCCTGCCTGTTGATAACCAGCTACAAATTTGATGACGCAAGCCAACGCATCTTGCCTAATCCAGGGGAATTTCTTGGTAGTTGCTGCCTCTAATTTGTTGCTCACTTTGTTTGATGATGTGACGACGTTTGTGTCGTCGGCTCTTTGAACTTGGCCAGCGGCATTTTATCATCGCCCTACTCTACTCCACTGGCATAGTCTCTGCCTTATCACGTGGCCCAGGCCTGCCCGGTGTGGTCCTTATCTCACTTGTCACTGGCTGCCTGACTCCTGCCTGCCGCTCCACTTCGGTGTGGCCTCTACTCATATTTGCATTAGACTAGGTTAAACAACCAGTTGGCATGAGTCGTCTGAATGCCATTGTTGTGATTGTTTTGAAATGCAAGCAACAGTTTTGTTTACCACAGCTCGACCCTGACCTACGCTAAGTCTTTGTATGCTTATCTACATAGATGAGATATGTGATAACAAATCACACTTATCTCTAACCTTTTATGGGCAATATTTTAAGGAAAAAATTTAAGTATGTGGGCATAAGTCGTAAGACTATGTAGATACTATTTCTTAAGATATATATATAGCAGTAGCATGGAAAAAAATTAGAGACTCAGTTCCAAGGTATTAACTTGCCCCAATTATTGGATTTATCTTACCACTTTTGGTAGATGACAATTTGGGCTAGAAATCGTATTTAGCCACAGCTACTATATAAAAATATCTACACCTTGCAATATTTTCAGTAAAACGGGCAATTTTCAAAATTGAATTGTTTTACTTTAATTTTCAGAATTATTAACAACCCAAGGCTCAAAATTTGTAACATCCCAGGGTTCAAAAACGCGTAAAATCGGTGTCACGAACCGCTCCCAAAGGCAGAGAATCGGTTCATACCGCAGCTTTGATCGGTACAAATAATGGTCATCATATTTATTTTGACGAACACTTCTTTTGCTTATCGGCTTTTGCTTGGGTATTCCATAAAAAACGTAATGTAAAGGTCGGAATAAATATTTAAGTACTGGAGGTAAGCGATATATCGAATTGTATCGACGTTGGAATTGTAAAGATAACTTATATACATGAAGCTTCAATTGAACCGACGATGTAGTTGTCGAGTGTTGAATAAAAAATATTAAAAAAAAAAGACTATGGATTTTATAAAATTTACAAAAATTAAATATTTAAAAATGTACTTGTCAAAATAATTGCTCCGACCACTGTTTATATAATATATAAAGCTAAGGCAATCCTAAATCAATGCCTGAACCTGTGATTCCAACCCGGATCTAATTATCTTTGTCCTGAGTCTTATTATCTCGTGTCAAATTCCATTCAATTTTGTAACCTGGTGTTATTTCAAGCATTTACTATGCCATATTACTCTGGCAACATGGCATAAACTGCATTAGAGGCTTTCGAATGAAATGTCGGCAGCAACAGCTTCCATTTTAGAGCCAAATCATAAACACGAACCGAGGCTGATTAAAATTTCATTTTGCACTTTCGACTGGGTTGGCTGTGATTGTTCTATTGGGTGTTGGGCAGCGGGCATCCTCTGCTATGATGGTAGCCAGCGGGCCAGCCAGTGTTGGATGCCCCAAATGTAGTGCTCGTAAAAACTGCAGCGACAACCGCAGCGCGACGTTTGCACTGCAATGCAGCACCAAAAATGTCAGCGGTGCTTCAAGTTTTATGGCGCTCCCCGCAAATGGCTATGAGAATGTATCTAAGCCGACTGGCCGGGTGCTGGCCGGGGCTCTGGGCCGGACCTGGGCTTGGGCCTGACTCTGTTATGCTGCCTCTGAATTCGGTTAGGGCTAAAACGTAAAACTTTTATGGCTGGGGCAGCGCGCGCATGGAAGAAGCTCAGCAAAGGCAGCGCCGACGTCAGCATCGTAAATAAATTTTGCTCGTAATTAATTTTGCATGCAAGTCAGCTAAAGACAACGAGATGGAGACTGAGCCCCCGAGACAGACTACATAGTGCCCGGCATGTATTTTGTTTATAGTGCGTAGTCGTGGTATCGCCAGTTCTCGGTTCTCGGTTGTCAGTTTTGGGAGTTAATAAACGACGCACACGGCAGCTGATTTTGAATGCCGCCTGACGTTTAATGATGGACCCGGGCATCCAATTTTGATATGCCAAATGTGTCGCTAAATGATTCTTTTTGTTGGCTGCGGGTTTGCCCACCTGTCTGCCTGTCCGCGTGGCCCCCGCCCCCAGCGCTGCCTGCTCACCTGCCAGCCTAGGCGTGTGAGGCGTGCGTTGCGCATACGCCCCGTGTGACGACACAGCTTGTGACTGGCATTAGCTTACGACTTGGCTTCGTTTCGGTTTTTGTATGCAAATGGGGCTTCAATCGGCCGGGGGTAGGGGTAAGGGTTGCGGCAAGGGGGAAGGGGCGGGACTGTTGGTGTTGATTGCTTTGACGGTTTGCATAAGCCTCATGGAAAACTTTTGCTCTGGCAGATCGAGAGCTGCGTTCGAGGTTCAAGTTTTGAGTTTGCATTGCATTTGCCAGGCAGCTCATTAGTGTGCTTGTTTGTTGTTGTTTTTGCTGCTCTAGCATTATTTATTTGACATTTTTAACACTTGACGTTGACAGTTTGCCGTGTTTTTGTGCCTTTACGTTAGTTACATTATACGTACTCAAATTTGCCAAACAAGCGTAAATCAGTTTGCTGCATTGAGCAAAGTTCTTGTTGTTGTTGTTGTTGTTGTTGTTGTTTTTGTTGCTGTTTTGCATCTGCTGTTAATTTTTGTTGACTCTATGTGTTAGCTTGTTGTCTGCCCTGTGCTGGCAGTCCCTTTGTTTGTCAATGCTTCAGTTGCAAAAATTGTCTAGCTAAGTCCCTCAGCTGTGCCGTGAGAGCTGACGAGCTTCAAGTTGGCTCAGATCAGCGGTAGTTGCAAATATTGATTAAGACTTGGGCTTAAGCTGTATACATATTAATACTCTTGTTGAAGCTGTTACTATTATGTCATGAAATATGTATCGCATGACGGGTGATGTCTCCAAACCCGTGTCGAAGTGTATAAGATATTTACCTATAATAATGCAGATATTGAAATCCGATTGATTGATTTAACAAGACACACGGAACGACATTTGCATAAGAGTTATATAAGAAATCGAATCGATTAGAAGTCTTAGCTTTAGGTGGGAGATCAATTTCTTAGGCAGACCCATCACAGAGAGTCGCCTCCAACCTACTAACTAGCTTAATTATTAATATCATATTATTTTTTTTAGGCTATGCTCACAGCCTATTCATTGTTAAGAGTAAATACCCTAAAGCTACCCTATACGCTACACAACCTTTTCACTAGACTCTATCTATTCAGATATCAGCTTGGCAAATTGAGAATTTAAAAGCAGAGAGCAGTAAAATCAAGTTTGCTATGACTTTAAATAGGTTTAGAGTGAATAAAAAAAAAAATAAATAAAAAAAAATAAAATAAAAATAATAATGTTTTCCATACACATTATACACAACATAATTGTTAAGTTTCATATATATTCTGACTGCACTCTTAGCGGATGGCATTAAAGTTAAAGTGAACGTCGCATTTGGTTGCCCAGCCCAGGGACAAACGCTATGTACTCCGAGCATAATGTATACTATGCATATAGGAGGGCTCGAAAAAAGTTTTCCGTGAAAACGTATTTATTGTTGGTCCTATGGCTAATCCTGGCATTGGTGCAGTGGGTGGTGATCTGTCTAGTGTAAGTGCATTCTAGCGAATGGGGCATTCTACAGCTGACTGACGAACTGCCCACCTACCGATCACAGCGAATCTATGAGGGACATATTCCGGAAGCACTATTACATCAGCATTGCGGCTTTTCTGATCGCCATTCTGCTCTTCGCTCTGTTTCTGTTCTTTGAAAACCTGCGTTTCAATAATGTGGTGGGCTTCATAATGTCTTTTTTCATTGTGAGTATATGCATTCCATTCCATTTCCATTTGCCAATAAAATCTCTTTCTTCCATCTAGGTAGAACTACAAATCATTGCGACATTCGCGCTGGTCGCCCGCGTCTATTGGGCGGAAATGCTCATGTACTTTTGTATTTGCGCCCTGCTCGTGTTCATCTTCGCAGCCATAGGCATTGCCTTGCCCAGGAAGGTGAGTAGCAATCGTTAGCCATGATGCTAAGCGAGTTTCCAACAGATGTGCGTTCGCTTCAGATGGACCTCACGCTCCATGTGGCTCTGCTGTTCATTCTGGCCTTTCTCTTCTTGCTCATCGCCGTCTTCTTCCTTATGCTGCATCTGATCGTGCCTGAGTGCGAGACCTATGCGTATGTACTCGTCCAGATACCCATCTCCATAACTATGTTGTTTGTAAGTTGCTGGGATTAGTCTGTCATCATCATCAAATGCATTCTAGTGTCCTTCAGTTTGTCATGTATCATGCGCAAACGATTCACGGGCGGCGCTTCGCGGAGATGCGACTGCATGATTATTGCCTTGGATCGCTGATCCTGTTCCATGACTTCCTTATCATATATTGGCTCACAATATACTGGCAGGTTTGTGCCAGACTGGTCACGCCCTCTGATTGGAGCACGACCGTAGCTAAAACGACTGCTGGTGTTAAGATTTTAGATCTTGGAGATGACGATATGGATTACGAGAGTAAGCCAATCAGATACTCTAAAAAGTTGTGGCCGCCTCTCAAATGGACCTCTTCCCCTTTTATAGATAAACAGTTGTTTATGCCGAAAATCATAAAACAGCTCAGACAGACGTCACCTTTCGAGACAAATGATAAGCCGCTAACCCTCGATTTTTTGCAGGATGACAATAAACGCTTTACAAGCGCTCTTAAAGACAAAAACTGGGATAATATATGGATGTCTGAGTCAAAGAAGAATCCTGCTGAGAATTCTCCAGCACGTGACAAAGAGATATTAGATGCGAATATCGAAGAGCCCGCCGGAAGCCCAAACAACCAAAGGGACAATGCAAGTCCAGCAAACGATGCCGACTACTTGAGTGCAGCAGATAAACCCTCGACAGCTGAATATATTTTCGATGAATGAGGAATTACATGAAAATGAGGCAGAAAATAAATGAAACGAAATGATAAGGAAAAACATTGGTCTCTTTAATTCTTAGTCTCTCAATATATACCGTGTACCTTATTCGCTTGGGGTTAATTCGAATAGTTGCCTTTGCCAGATTGGCTACTGTCATTCGATTCGTTTTTTTTTAGGCAGATTAGTCAGAATTAATGTCAGAAATATTATGAAGCTTTTTATTTTTAGTTAATGTCTTGTGTTTGTGAAATTTGCAGTTGATTCTTGTCTTGTTTCGCTTGTAGTTTATTTTCACACAAAATTCGCAGTAAATGTTGAGCCCTACGTAGACAGTACGTCTACTAATTCCTGTCCCATAAATGGAGCGACATGAGCGCCACCTACGAGAACTATGTTTATTATAAGAAAGCGCGCCGAAGGTTTGCCCTTAAGACCTATATACTTTTGTTTGTCTGGCAGATTTTGGCCATTTTGCAGTGGGCCGTCGTTTGCCTCATGTGAGTATATATTACTACAAATTATTACCGTACTGAATTCTCATGTATCCTACACGCAGAGATGAAGTACGCGACTTCTTCATTGAGTACTATTATATCAGCTTTGTGGCATTTGTTTTGGCAGTTCTCCTGTTTGGTCTCTTCATATTCATTGAGAAGTTGCGTTTCATCCCAGCATTGAATTTTATAGTCTGCCTAATAATTGTAAGTTCGAATTACCAGACTCTAACGCAAGTAATCTCTAGCCATTTAATACCCTAATTTCCACATGATTTTCCTTCAGGTTGAGCTGCAAATTATAGCGCTGTTTGCTTTAGTCGTTCGCACTTACTGGATGGATCTAATAATATTCTTTATTATATGTTTTGTGCTTCTTTGGCTGTTCATTCTGATTGGTTCGTGTCTTCCGCGGAAGGTGAGTTTTGTATTTGTTTTCTTATCGCAGAGCTTGTATTGTATTTAACACGTGTAAATATCCTTTAGATTGACCTGACCTTAGATGTGGCCATATTATTCATTGTGGGCTTTCTGTTCCTGGCTATTGCAGTCTTCTTTTTGATGTTTCGATTCTTGGTACCCCAAGTGAAGATGTATTCATACATAGTCTTCGAAATCGCCGTATCCATAATTATTCTGTTCGTAAGTTTCCACTTCCATTACTAGATGGTCAGAGTGCGGCTAATTGTAGACCTTTCCTCAGTTTGTCATGTACCATGCGCAAACCATCAACGGCGGTCGATTCGCCGAGATGCGTCTGAACGACGCCTTACTGGGATCGCTAATTCTTTTCCACGACTTCCTTATTATTTATTGGTTAACCTTCTACTGGCAAATCCTAGAGAGACCTTTCACGCCCGACAATTGGGAATATCTTTCCACACTGAGCACAACAACCAGCACTACTCCTAAGCCGGATAAAGAAGAAGGGGTTGCTAACAAACCAGTAGTCCAGCGTAATCAAGACGAAAACCAAGATGATAACGAATATGAAGCCGAAGATAACGATAAAGACGGAGACAGCGGCAATGGGGATGATGAAGAAGACGATGAAAAAGTAAAAAGTAGAGGCCAAGATCGTGGTCAAGAGCAAGAGGAGGACGCAGAAGAGGACGAAGGGGCGAACGCAAATAGAAGACAAAAACCTAATTTCAACACAGGTGGAGACAATGATAGTGGAACTGGTTCCAGTAGAGGCTCTAATAGAGCACCTGGTAAGCCCGCCAGGAAAAAGATGTATTCACGCAAACAGCCCATGCTACACGCCGAAGGGAACCCGGATGCAGGCCCCGATGCCGACGCGAGCAGTGGCCATCTTGCTGGCGTAGTTAGTGGAGACGAGGCAGGTGAGGTTGCTGGTGGGGTGGTGGAGAACGAACCTAAAAGCGCCAGAATTAATGCTGAGGAAGACAATTCAGCTTTAGATAATGCAAAATCCTCCAGAGTAATCACAGTAAAAGCCGCCGAGCCCGGTGCAGCGGCAGAGCAAGGTGGAGCTCTGTCCGTTGGAGCCTCTGCCGAAGAGCCCAACACAAATGATGGAGCAGGTGGAGATGCCGATATAGTTAATGAAGATTTAGCAAGCGACGCAGTTAAAGACGGGGAACACGCAGGAACTGCTTACGATGCTACTGAGGCAGGCGCAGAAGGGGATACCAATATAGATGGGGATGCACAAGACGCTGAAGAACACAATTCAGTGGGAAAGGATTCTGTTGATGCGCTGGGAAGTGGCCAGTACCCAGGGAATATTAACGCTGGAGATGATCCCGGTGGTGCCGCCGGTGGCGACGTTGGAGGTGACGTTGGAAGTGTCGTTGGAGGTCACGTTAGAGGTGACGTTAGAGATGTCGGTGGAGCCGCCGACGGTGCCACCGATGGTGCCGCCGGGGGTAATGCCGGTGGTGATGATGGAGGCGACGTTGGAAGTGTCAGAGGTGGAGATCATGTAGGTGATGTTGGAAGTGTCGGTGGTGGTGATGTTGGAGCTGATGTTGGAGGTCACGATGGAAGTGTCGTTAGTGGTGACGTTGGTGGTGATGTTGAAGGTGTCAATGGTGGAGATGTTGGAGGTGATGTTGGAGGGGATGTTGGAGGAGACTTTAGAGATGTCAGTGGTGCCAACGGTGGTGCAACCGATGGTGCCGCCGGGGGTAACACTGGTGGTGACGTTGGAAGTTACGTTGGAGGTGACGTTGGTGGTGATCCAGTTGTTGGTGGTGATCCAGTTGTTGGTGCTGAGGACCCAGTAGGTGGCGCTGGTGCAGGCGCAAGTGAAGTTGAGGGCACAGGTGATCATGGTGGTGGAGTTATTGAAGGTGACGCTGGAGCAAATGCAGTACCAGCAACAGGAGTCAATCCAGACACATATTTAGAGGCAGAAGCAGGCGCCAGTGCAGGTACAGATGGAGACACTGGGATCTATGTAAATAACGCGGCTGGTGCAGATACGAACGATCCTGCCAATGGTAATGCAGGAGGCCCTGATGGAAACGCTTACCCTGAGTCCACTGGTAAAGAGGTGGCTGGAGTTGGCAATGAAGGCGTCAATGCTGATGGCGCAGATGGAGGCGTAGGGGGATCTCATAGAGGCGTAGGGGGATCTGTTGGAGACTTCGGCGGAAGAGGCGATCGAAAAGGAAAGCGTAAGATCTGGAGAAGGATGTGAAGCAGTTGGAATACAGTTGAAAGCTGCCACAGGCTCGATTTGGAAGTGCATAAGTTTTGGATGGCAATGTGAAAATCTCGACTATAAAACCTAAAGATCCTGATAACGTTGAATAATATCTAATTCTACTTGAGGGTTACGAGTTAACCCTTTAAGCGTACACTGTACATACAGAAAGCCAATAAACAGATATTTGTGATTGTCAGTTTACACATACAAACATATCAATATTACTAACTAATAACTAATAACACTTACGCTTACAATGTGCTTGTCTTTCTACTAACAAGTGACTAACAAACGACTGACCCAAAGATTTATCACTCATAAGTCAAGTCACAACAACACCTGTTCAATGAACTCCACAAAAGAAAACCGTTCGTCCAATTACGGCCAGAACACGTGCAGACCCCATAAAAACGTACGAGTACAGCAGATACATAAGTACATTACCCATAACACATACTTAAGCGTACCCATCCAGACCCACATCTTGGCGAACCTTAACAGTTCGAGCATACTTTAAATGAGACAGTACGAGTATTATATCTGTTCTAGAAGAGACCTAATTGTACTTAAACTATTTTAATAAAAACTTATAAATAGTGAAATTTGAGAAAAATTGATTTAAATTACGTAAAGTGTGAACGAAATTCGTTATTCAATTGCGAATAAATATTTTTCCCTTATCAAATGCAACTTTGCATCCAATAGTAAAAGATTGAAAGAGTATTTCAATTAGTTAAATGGTATTTATTTATTTTAGCAACTTAAGACTAAATCAGTTGTCTTTTAGCTTAAAGAGTATCTGATTGTCGGCTACTAACAACTTGTTTGCCTGCTGTGTTATTTTTGTTGTGCATTACAGCAAATAATGGCAAGAACGCAAAGCACGACCGCGACACAAACCCAACGCTGACTGCAACTGCTGCTGGTGTTGATGTCAGTGCCAGGTTCCAGACCCACTCACCACGTCCCCACGCCCCTCCCTCCACGCCCCTCGCCCCACTGGCCAGTTTAGCTGGCAGTCACTCATGACTGTGACCTGAACCAGATACACGATGCACGATAATATAATTTATGGCCCTGTTTTGGTGTTTGTTGCTCCGCTGCGTTATGGTATGTTTGATGTGGCGTGCTACGACGTCCATCCGTCTGTCAGTCACTCCGTCCATCAGTCGGGCAGTCAGGCGGTCGGGCGGTCGGGCGGTCGGTCTGTCCCATGTCGACTCATCAACAAATCGTACATTTGAATACAAATTGCAGCATTACCAGCTGAGGCGCAGAAGCCTCAACAAAAGTGTCAAATCTGACATGAAATTATTTATGCTAACAACAACACGTGAACTTCACCTGGTTATGCAGGTAAATTCAGTTTCCCCAGAGTGAGGACAAATAACAGTTAAGAGAGTTTATTTTGATTTTCATACTTGTTATATTTGTTTACCATATTTGACAATATTTAATTATTTATTTAGTTAATTCATGAAGTTCTTTTAGCTATAGATTTTTAGCTTCAGTATATGTGTATTTAATTAGTTTCTGTGTAATTCTATTATTTCTTTTCTAGTTTTAGTAACTGCAACATTTTATGAACTAACTGTGCTTGATCAAGAGGTGCCACTGTAAATGAAACCAATTTTCAACAATTTGATTGCTTTGATAAAATTAATAAATAAATAAAGAAATATTTAAGCTGCAGCCAGTCGCAAAACTATTTGAGAATTGCAAGCATATAAATCATAATGTTGCCTGCTTGGGCGCATCTTGTTGATTTTCTGGCACTAAATTATGCAAACAAGCTTATCCCAGGCGCACATCATGATTATCTTGGCCAGTTATTGTTTTTTGCGGCTAGATTAACCGGCTGTTAGTATATACTTTGGTCCACACACGTATTGTTGCTCTAAGCCAATCTCAGCCGCTTGGGCCAACATCACGTACGCAATTTTGAGGCGAACAAACAAAACTCAAATATTTCAGCTGCTGCAAGGCAGACTTGAAAAAGGACTTGGCAGCTGGTGCATTGAATGTTTAGTTGCCAGGATTTAATATCTTAGGCAAACCAATGATCAGAGTAATAAATAAATAAAATAAAAAAGTTGTATTTAAATATTGATTGCTTGAATGGTTTTTTCTAGCATAATTTTTAATATTTTTATATATATATAGTATATATTTTTTCGATATTTTTCATTAACATTTAGGCTTAATCGATAGGCAATTTGTTTAAATTACTTTATTTAGATACAATAAATAATACTCAGTCTTGCATAATACACGATATAACAAATAACTAAAACGAAATCAAATCATTTACACATATAGGATCTGTAGTTGGTGAATGTGTGTGTGTGTGTGTGTGTGTGTGTTTATAGGAGCCTACTTAGATTCATCCAACTTGATGGGGGCAGCTGATGCAGCTATTTACAAGTGACTAAGCATGTAAGCATGATCCCTAACCCCAATCCAAATTCAGGCCCAATTCCCTATCCCCATCCCCACCCCCAACCCTAATCCCTGTCCCCTTACCCTGGCCGTGGCCCTTGCCCCAACGCACTTTAGTTGGTGGCCAATCACGCGGCAACAACAACAACCAATGAGGCGCAATCATCATCAACAGCTGCCGCCGGCAGCAAAGTTTCTGCCGCAGCTGTCGACGCTGCACTGGACGCCACATTTCGATGCACCAGCTCATTCCGCTGCTCGAGCTCATCCGGCATGTTAATGCAAATGGCTGGCGAGGCTTTGTCCTCCGCCTGCGCCAGTGTCTGTGCCTGCGTCTGTGCCTGCGTCTGTGTCTGTGTCAGCGTCTGCGTCTGGTCGTCTGTTGCTGACAGTTTGCACTTTTGCAGCTTATTCGAACTGCACTGCTGCACTGCGTCCTTCTCCCAGTTGCTAATGCACGCACGCTGATTATTGTGACTGTGATTGTGATGATGATGATGATGGTGCACAGCCGCCAGGCTGGGATACACAAACTTCATGCCGTAGGCAAAATGACGCGGCTGATGATGCAGCGCCTCATCGTAGCTGGGCAGCCCGGTGGCAATTGTGTAACAGGGCGGCGATTCAATTTGATAGAAGGCCGCTTCATTGCCCCCGGCTGTTGCACTGTCGGCAGAGCTGCCACCGGCAGGCTGCTGCAGAAATCGGCAGCTGATCAGGTGATGACTGGCGCCATGCGAGGAGTAGGAGTCGTCGGCGGCATGAATCTGTGCGCGTATGTCCTTGTCTGCAAATACGAAAAGGGGTACAAAAGTTGTTTAGTTCCTGTTGCAAGCAGCAAGCAGCAAAGTTTTTGTTTTTCCATTCTTGGTCGGCCCTCAAACTTTGACTTTGACTTTGACAGACGTCTCATTAGTTTGTTTGTCGAATCCCACACGAAGGACACTTGTTGGATTGGATTGGAGGCGGGCGAAGAGAGAGGACTCTGGCATTAAATTCAATTTAGCGTAAAGGCGCAAACGGTTGAACTTTGTGAATGGCAGGACATGAGCAGGAACCTCTGCAGCTTTTATTGAAAAGACAGAAACAACAAAAAAGGCGCAAACAAAAAAACACAACAGAGAAATACGGAGGCAGCAGGAGAAGAGAGAAAAAAGTTTTGTGCCGACCGGAAATGCCTGTGAGCTTGGCCGGACAGCCAAAGTTGGCCAACAACTGACCGTCTGACTGACAGACAGACAGACAGACAACAACAACAACAACAAGTAGGCAATAACACGCCGGAAGTGCGCGCGTGGCACAAATGAAACGAACGATGCGAAAAAAAAAGAGAGAGAACGAAATAAATATTGAAGAAGTTGCAGCAATGCAGAGAAAAAACCGCCCCGTGAGGTATGCAACGCCAAAGGTTTAATTTTGTACATGCCCGCACGGCGGAAAATGGTTATTCTTGAAATTAAACCAAATCGACTTTAGTTAAGACTACAAAAACAGCCGAGCATTATCCGTTAATATCCGATTTTATGCAGAAATTATTCGAATATAATACGAAGCTCGTTTACAGTACTTTGGCACGGACTTACTTGGCTTACTTGGAGTTTATTGAAAAAATATTCTATGGAAATTGTAAGCTTATAGTTCTTTTGGCTTTTATTGTTTGCCCTGTCGCAAATTGTTGCGGTGATTAAATGCAATTTAAGCTGCATTTATTAAATGAAAGCTACCTTGTGCTTTATGCAATTGAAAGGCTCGACAATTTTTTAATTGTCAGCGCAAACAATTTTTATTTTCACTTTTGTTTTGTGTTAAATTTTAATTAATTTATTTTTATTATTTGATTTTTTTCTGATGTGCTAGGCGCATCTACAAATATTTCGGCCAAATGGTATTCCATTAAAGCGAATGGGCTGCTCTTTGGAGGGGGCGTGGCACATGTTGTGCGAAATAAAAAAGCATGTGCGCATTACAATATTAAAACAGAGCAGCAGCAGTACTCATACTGGCAGCAGTCACTGTGCTGCTGGCAGCGGTTGTTGATTTATTGTTATAACTGTAGCGCAAGCTCGTATATTTTTGGGTGCTGCCTGGTCGAGGACTTTCACAGACCCATTTGACTTTTGTTTCATTTTTTTGATAGACAGACGGCAAACACGGCCAACAGGGGCAACAATGGGGCCACAGTGGGCGTGGCACACACTCACACGCACACACACGCACATACACGCTGTGGCATTCATATTTTATGCAAGTGTTCGTCGGGGCAGCATGCGAAAAAAAGACCAAAGTGAGTGAGTCCCATGGCAGCAAGGCGTCGGGGATTGGGCGGCAGCTGTAACGCAACTGGCAGCTGCAGTAGCTGGGTAAAAAAATTAGCACGCCATTTGTTTTTGGCTTTTGTTACATTTGTGGCAGTTGGCGGCTCCTTTTTGCCGATGCGTCCGATTGTATGCAACAATTTAAATTCATTGCAATGAGCTGACGAATGCTGAAGGACCAATTGAGCCCGACTCGCTGAGCGCTGTTCGTTATTTATTTATTTATTTATTTGTACAGCCGCGCACATTCTATATATATATATTGTTGTTTTTCATAAATGTCTGTTAATTTTTTTAACACGCTCGTTGGTTGGGGGCAGCAGTCGAAGCGGAACTTTTGAGGTTGAGTCTGCAGTTTTATTACGTTTAATCGGTTTTGCAGGTGATACCAATGAAAGCTGAGCGTTGAGTGGGGCTCAAATTAAAATTTGCGGCTATTGTGCTTTATTTAAATTTGATTCGAATTTATCCGGAATTATCCGGATTTATCCGAACCATCCGGAATGTATAAATCGTTTGTGGACTGAGCAAAGAAAGTTCCGTTGACAAAAATACTGTAAATTTCCAGCTCTAATATGAAATATTATATTATTTATAAACAAAGCAAACTATTTTCAGGGCAGCACTAAACGCTGCGGAGCAACAAAACAATTTGGTTAATTACAACTCTCAATTTGCGTTGGCTAACTGAAAACCAAAGCGCCAACAAACATTGTTAGAAAAAACTATATATATACAGCTAGGGAAAAGTCAGAGAACAGTTTGGTAGTTTTTCGTCCAGCCACAAAAGCCATTAAAAATTGAAAAGACTCGTCGAGCTAAGAGCAAGTTTTGGCTGTTAGTTTTTGGCCAGGCCAAGGGAGAATGTGCTACGCTTAATTACATTTTTAACGGAAGTAAATTATGCACAACCTATACAACATAATAAACAGTGGCAGCAGCAGAAGCAGCAGCAGCAGCAGGTCCTGTTACGTCCTAACGCTTTAATTTACAAGTGCCTGGCCCCGCTGGCTGTTGTCCTGTTAATAAATTCAGTTGTGTGCGGCTCTAATTGATAACAAGCCAAAACTTGCTACACGCTGAGTGCTTGCGCCGTGCGTGTGTGTGTGTGTGTGAATATCTGTGTGTGTGTGTATCCTGGCTTAATAAATAAACTGTAAGACCAGGCAGAGGCTGCTTGGCATCTCAGGCTCGTTAAGTATTTATAAGGTAAGCACACTGTGTGAGAAGCGACAACAAAGGACGTGCAGCAGACGGGCAAGGCTGGCAGAAGGGGCGTGGCGGAGCTGGGCGGGGCGGGGTGCACGTAGCGAGCATTAAACGCAGAAAAGCGTGCTACGAAAATCGAGCAAACTTAAGCCAAAGTTGCTTAATTATAAATGACACACGTGTGTGGCAGAGCCAACCACAAAGATATATATACATACATACATATATATATATAAAGCCTAGGCCCTATCTATGTAGGCCAGTCTAACAACACGTAACACGGTAATACGGAAAAAGCGAAAACTAAAACCTACACGACACTAACGAAACTAATTAGACGCACAGGCGCCCAAAAAAAGGCGGCCAGCACACATATCGCTCAAAGCTCAAATTGATATTTTACGTAGTGCCCGACCTGAGTCCCCCCTACCCCCACCCCCAGCTACGCCGTGTCGCTGTCTCTTTTTCCTGGCCAACATTGTTGTGGGGCGCAAAGTTTTTAAGGCTCGTTAGCACGAAATTGACAGTTTGACAGTTGAGTTGGCCATACTTTAATGCCACGGCCTTTGGCCCCGCTCGGCGGCCCCTCACAGCTTGTGCAACACTTTACGCAACCTGCTCTCTCTCACTCTCTCTCTCTCTCTCTTGCTGTTTCTTTCCGGCTATGGCCTAAATAAATCATTTGGCTAAATTGGTCTGCAAAAAGTTTGACACTCGAGTTGAGACTTGTTTAGTTTCGTACTTTCCTAGTTGGCCCAGGTTTTGGCCCAGCTTGTTGGAGTATTTCTCTCTGTCTGTGTGTGTGTGTGTGTGTGTGTGTGCACAGCTCGTTTGCTTCTAATTATGTGTAAAGTGCCTAAGCATATGATTTACTTTTCGGTATTTGTTTCAAGCTCTTAAACGAACAAGCTGCACAAGCAACAGGTTTTGGCCAAGAACTGGATTTAGTTCAAGTTGAATTTTAGCCAGAATTTATGTTGCTTTTGCTAAAAAATTTCCATGCTTATAAATGGCCTCAAAAGTTGACAGCTGCTAAAAGTTATTTGATTTTATTTTCAATATAAGTATTTATCGGTATTTTGATGCTGTTGCCCTTTCACAGCTAGTTTTTGCTTTTTACCGCATAATTTCCTAACTGTTGCTGAGCTAAGACAAAATTACCCCATCATAATAATAATGCCCATGCATCAGCCATCTCGCTCCTACTCATTGTGCACACTGCCATACGCCTCGCTCTCGCTATCTGCACAAAAGTCACAAAAACAACAAAACGGTAAAAAGAGCAACAAATTTCGCACAGCTTCCACATTATCACGCTCATAAAAGAGGCGTGCGGCGCGGGTATGGGGAGGGAGTGGCTCTTATAGGTGCCTGGGTCAATTTAATATTATAAATATGCAGCACATATATTTTGTGGCATCATAAACTTGTGTATCTAAAATTACAGCAGACAAACCATGGGAATGCGAAGCGCCTGACAATTTCGAAGCGCGCCAAAATTTATGAGACTGTCGGCCATAACAGTGCGAAGCGGAGAGTGGTGGGGTGGAGAGTGGAGAGAGGTGAATGTGGGTAACGGCGGGGGCGGGTGGTTTTATTCTGCACTTTATATTGTTTAGCCTGGCAGCCAAAACAGCTGGATAAATGGCCGTTGATAAGGTCGCACCCCAAACAGAAAAAAAACGACGACAACGACGAAAATAACAACATTTTGATTAAAGTCACAAAGTCTGAACATAAAAGGGGGCATGGGGCATGGGAAAGGGGCGTCTGTCAGTGAATACTTACTGCATTTTTTCCATGTCCGAAACTTGCGATAGAAATAACAGCTGAACATGATGAAGACCAGGGAAAGCACCACCAGCGAGGTGACCACGCCAATCCACAGATAGTTGACAATGGCATGCATGTCCGCATCGCCAAAGATTTGCTCCCACACGGAATTGCCGTCCGCATCGTTGTGCTCGCGCAGATCCGCCAGATCCAGCACCACCGAATTGGACAGCTGCTCCGTGCTGATGCTGGCCGGCGGCGACGAGTCATAGGTAACGGCCGCATTGCCAATCCGCTGCAGCAGCGTGTTGAACGAGTGCAGCGCGTCAATGTGGCGCAGATCGTGCGCTGTGGGTATCTCGAATGTGATTTGATTCTGCTGCATGTGCTCCGCGATGGCGGCGGGACTCATGCTGCTCGCCGGTGCGGAGATGTATTCTGCGTACAGCTCCCCGCTGCTGACCGTTGTCTCCGGCAGCGGATAATCCGTAGTAGTGCTGGTTAGCGACATTTGAGAATATTCTTCTTTTATTTGTTGTTTTCTTTTTTATCACTTGAAACACTGATTCGCGTTTGTTATTCTTGTTGTTGTTGTTGTGTAGTTCGCACACGCGTCACGAGACGTAAACAAAACGCAGTCTATAAATAGTCATTGGTCGAATTGAAGTTCGATATGGCTTTAAAAGTTGGCCCGCGCAGTGCGTCCGTTCGCTGTGGCGGTTCGTTGTTGACTGAATTGACTCGCGTGATGCGAGCGCTAGGTAAAGTTGCTGCTCGATACGCGACAAGGGAAATGCACTCGGAGAGTACCGGCTGCAGTCAGTGAGTGAGTGACAAGTGCGTGCCCGCGCTCTCGCTCTCTCGGGCATACATTTACGCTCACTCACACGCTCGCCTGCTCAACTCCAACTCGCAGCTGAGTGCACTGCCAGCTGAGTTCTTATGCTCAAGTCCTTTTGCCTTTAAGAAGCGTTTGCAATTTTTGCCGCATGTTTTTTGTGGGTTTCGTTTTTTTTTTTTAAATGTTCAACGTCCTCATTGCTGACCCAGTTTGAAGCGGTTGCCTTTTTGGCCAGCAAAGACAAAAGACGTCGACGTTTTGGCTAAAGAAAACTTCACCCCGGTCACGTTTTGTGACGCATTTCGGAGCGTTTAATGTTGTCAAGTTTTCAAGTTTTTCAAGCAAAAACCAAATTGCAGCAACCAAAACTTCCACGGCGCTTATAATGAGAAGTGACTCGCACTCCTGCGCGGGGCTGCGGGGTATTCGATAAGCTGCAGCTCGGGCGGGGATTTATGGACAGGGAAAGCCAAACAAACAGCAGGAAAACATGGTTCTAGTTAGGAAACTTCGGAGCTGTTCATCGGTTTTTACGGTTTTGCCGAAAACTTTAGAGCTCACACAAATTTGTGTAGCTTTAAATTGGTCTTAAATCATTTTATTAACTGTTAAAAAAATAACTATCAAGAAATGTTCCAGAATAGCTGGAGGATAATTTCCCAGACTGACTATAAAAATACATAATTTAACTACTTTTCCCATAAAACTCAGACATTCTTTTGAGCTATTTTAAGTATTTAATGTCAAAAACCCCAATTTTCGTAAGCTTTAAATATCCGAGCAAAAAAACCTATGAATAGCAGAGAGCTACAGCTCAAATCTCAGCCATTATGTGTCTCTTGGGTGAGGGGATGCCGCAATGCTTCCTGCCCAATGCCGGTGGCAACCAGAACAGGAACGTGAATGTCCTGGGCACGCCTCATTTCAGGTCCAACCCAAATGCTGACCAAAAGCCGGACAGCAGAGCTCAATGCACAAAGGTTCCTCTTGCTGTGTTGGCCGAAAAAACGTGCTCAGAAAGTGGCACAAATGCATTGCTCAGCCGGCAGCTCACCTCTCCCTCGGGCCCACGCTCGCTCACTCAACACACAGCCACAAACGAAACTCACACTCAATGGCTTGAGTGAAACTCAAAAACCGGTTTGGTAGAGCGCGCATGCGCACTCGGTGAGCGTGTTATATGAGTAAAATTTCCCTGAACTCTCGCACACGAAATGCACGACCCAAAGTCAATTTGGCAGCATTCGCCTTTGAACTGCGCCAGGCTAAAGGTCGAACCGCGTGGGCGCTACGTGCGTTCCACATCCATGTTAAAGTATCTACGTAAAATCAGCAACTGGTTTCGTCTGCGGCAAGGTGGGGAAGGGCGGGGGGGTGTGCATGCTTGTAATTGCTGCAGGAAATTGAAATAGATGCCCGATAATATGCACTTAGCTGCCGCTACCAGAGTCATTCGATAAATGCATTAAAACTTTTCGACTGCTGCAAACTTGGGCCTTGGCTTAAGCTTCGGGCAACAGCCAAACGCTTATCGTTAATTAGCTTTCGACTAATTTTGAACTTAAACATAAGTTTAACAGCAACCGGCTTAACGTAGTTTCGCCGCTCAGATTTATGTCCACACGATAAGGGGCACTGTTGCGACGGAGGGAAGAGTGGCTAAGTTTCGATTAAGCTGGCAAATTGCATACGTATGAGCCAACGGGCAAAATAAAGTTGCTTTTAATTGGAAATTCAGGTAAAAAAAAACATTCACATTTTTCCTAATCACATATAAGTGTGAGTTAAGTTTATCTATATAACTACATTAGAAGATATATGTTTGGGGAATACGAGATTTTTAACAAATTATACAAAATATATAATTTTGTAGGAATAAGGGAATTTTTAAAAATTATTCAAAAAATGTATATATATTTTTGGAATTTTTGTAAATACTCTTCTAAAATTTTTATATATTAATATTAAAAAAACAAATAAATAAATTGAATAATAATAATAAAAGTTTTTGTAAATTATTATTAAATATTTTTGTATGTTAAGGAAATTTATTAAATATATATATAAATATATTTAATATAAATCATTGTTCATTTGATTATATGAATTTAACTTTTTATAAATAAATAGAAAATAATAGAGAAAATATTCTATGCTAATTCAATTTTATCATTAACATGTCAACTATCAAGCTAACCTTTGACTTCTTCTATATTCTAGTCTGGGATTCGAGTCCGTTTGTCCTTTCAGTTTACTTGAGTTCTTGCTCAATTGAACATTTTATTTACTTTATGCTATGTAGGAAATTAAATTTATATTTGTTTAGATTTTCTGGGAAAAAGAAAACCTTTATTAATATTCAAATTGATTTTTAGTCAGTCTATTCAGTTGTCAACACTTGGTTGTATTATTTTCTTTATTCTTTCATTTTAATCTAATTCCATGTATGAATGGAAATTAAATTCACAGCACTTGACTTGTCGCATTCAATTTGCAAATTTGCTGCTCTGCCTACCTTAGTACGCTGCCCCCTCCCCCCAATCCCCCCCTAGACGCCCACACCATGACTGGCACATCTATGACAATAGATGCTCCGTCATGTCCTATCTTGTGCATCTCGCCGGAGGAATACAAGAAGCCCGACGAGACGTGGCTAGTGAGGCAGAAGTTAACTTTTATAAACAAATTTACACCTTTCATTTTGTGCACGTTTTTAATATATATATAGGTATATATATGTGCATATATATTCTAAGAAAATATGTAAGCTGTCAGTGCTTATGAAGCCGAGGCATTCATGCTATATTCCATGTATGCAGATGCTGTGTGACACCAAACTAAAAGTAAATTCATTAAAAATTCCATCATAAAGAATACCTAGACAGTAGCTGCCTGAACCACAGCGGTGCGAGCGAGAGAGAGAAAGACAGAGAGAGAGCGAGAGGGATGTTAAGAAAAAGTTGTATACTATATATATTTTTTGCTAACTAACTAAAAAGTAAACCATAAAAGCTGACAAGTCAAAGAGTAGAGAGCAGGCGGAGAGACTAGAGGGGGGTTGAGAAGAGGAAGCAAGGCTAGGCAGGCGAGATACTCCACACCAAAGACACAGTCCTAACTATGTGTATCTCACGCTTTCTATGCAACTACTCTGTGCTCTTGTATCTGCGAGCTTCCATCACACTTCACTTACACGCTCTTTAACATGTCAACATGTCAACTCGCCGCCTTAGTATGTGTGTGTGAGTGTGAGTGTGTGTGGGAAGGGGGGGGGAGCGTATCTGTGTGACATAGTGACATAATAAAATGCTACTTTATTCGTTAGTTTCAAGTTTAGACAGCGTCTGATGTATGCGTGTCTCTTAAGTAAATTTCAAGCAGTTCATAAGCAACAAAGACATTTTTGCAATGCCTGCGGCAGACAAAGCGTTATTTATAATGATATTAATGAAAAATGCAATTGGCATGCCTTTAACTTTTGTGTGCATTTGCATAATTGCCCAAGGATTCGGGATTAGCATAAATCAATCACATGACAACCTCTGCGATCCTCGGCACCTTTGAGAGCCCGTCAGGCGAAAGCAGGCCTGTGAAATTGTGCAGAAAGGCTGAACGACGGAAAGAAATGCACAGAATGCCAAGGATGCAGGCTGGAGATGGACCGCAGCCTAAGGCAGACTGGCTGAACAAATACAATTGCATAAGTCCTGGCAATTCAGCCTTTGTCTGAACACACACACACACATACACACTCAGGCATATATATGTTTGCATAACTATAGAGTTGTGTGTTTATCATATGTGCGCTTGATTAGCGCTGACAGCATATGCAGGCAGGCAGGCTGGCTGGCAACTAGGCAGGAAACTAGCCAGGCCACAAAAGGACTGCACAGGACAAACTGTTGACAAACAAACAAGTGCTCATTTTTTTTCTTATTTATTTTCATTTTGTTTTTTTTTATCCTGCCCTTGTTTCTTTTGCTGCATATTTTCTTTTGGGATACTGGCACAACAAATACGCCGGACTGAGGTCCTGTTTGTAGTTATGCTTCAGCTCTTGCTGTTGCTCTGGCTGTTTGTGGCATGTTGCATCAGGGCAAAACAAAAGGCAAACTGCATTAAAGCAGTTTAAAAGGATTTGTTGCCTGAAATATGTGCAGCACATTGCTTAAGTTACTTACATACAAACATTTACTCAGACGGATTATGCAAATAGAAGGGGACACCAGTGAAAAGAACAATTTGCTAGCAAAAGAAGCTGAGCATTCAGAAAAAAAGGACAATTGCGAGCTGGAGTTATACAAGCAGCCGATTTAAGCTTCTCAACAATGCATTCATTAAACACAGATATGACCCTAAATATGTCCTGTAACTACTTCCCTTCATCTCACCTTGTATAAATTCGTCATATCCACAATCTATTGTCTTCCACTCACAACTCTTTACTCTTTCATTGCAAAGACACTAATTTTATTTTATGAGCATTTGGATGTATGTAAATATAATTAATTTAATTTATAAAAAATTGAAAAAATTTATAAAAAATTTTAAATATATATGAAATGTTTGAACTTATTTGAAAAATCAGGCTGATGAACTGAACTTCTAGGCGAGAAATTGATTTCAGCTGTTTTTGTTGGTCCTGCTGCCTTTATTATATTACAATATATAATTATCATTTGCAAATTTTCCCTTTTTTCCCATATCGAATAAACTTAATTGTCAGCAGCTTTTTCTTCCGTTTTGTTAACATTTCAAACCAAAAATGCACTGCAAAATAAACTAGCAAAAGTTTTTGTTGGGCCTGCAGCCTTTAGTATCATACAATTCGTATACCCTTGCGCATGGTATTACAATTTTGTCATGAGATATGTAAC